TGTGCCTTAATGGGAAGGTGTCATAAATCACTCGGGAGGATGGTGTGTGCTGGTGATGGAGAAAGGACTCCTGGGTGTCTGAGGGTGAGGAGAGAGGGAGAGGAGCAGAGCAGAGAGGGGCTGGGGAACCCCAGCTCCGATCTTTCATCTCCCCTCGGCTGCAAATGACTCTGGGCCGCAGGCGGCCTGTCTGACTTCCACCTGCTTTGGTCCAGATCTAGTGTTGGTTTGAACAGATTCTCCCTTCACTCTGTTGGGGACAGGCCGCTTAGCATCTTTTGTAGGGTGTATGTCAAAAAAATTTCTTCACTGTTCTCATGACCTCAGCGCCAGTTTTCCTTCTCTACCCCTTCCTTTGAATGCTTCTGATTAGCAAGACATCCTTTGGTGGAGGGTGCTCAAACCCAAGGCCCACCAGTTGAATGCAAACATAGTCTTTTGGAGGGAAGGGGAAGACTTTAGGGTCTGGTGGAAAAACACCAGGCTTTGGAGTCAGACTTCGGTTCAAGCTCTGGCTCTGCTACTTTCTAGCTGTGTGACTTTGAGTAAGTTACATACCCTCTCTGAGCCTCAGATTCCTCATTCCTGAAGCACTTCCTAAGTTAATGTGATGTTTTGACCACTCTATCCAAAGCAGCCCTCCCAACCACGGAAACTCTCTATTCTAGCTTCTTGTTCGTTTCCTTCATAATTCTTATCACACTCTGAAATGCTTCTCCCCACGTATCTACTTCTTGTCTGCTGTCTGTGTGTCTCTGGTTTGTAAACTCACGAGGGCGGGGTGGCGTCTGGCTGCTTGGGCTTCAGCCCCACTGCGTGGAACAGCACCCGGCACATCGCAGGTGCTCAGCATGTATCTGCTGAGGGAACAGATGAATGAAGAGCATCGTCCTCAGCATGTGCTTGGCACCTGGTTACTGCAGAACTCACTGGAACTGTCTGTGCAGAGGCCTGCTCCTCGTCTTCAGACCTGCTCACACTCATCCAGTCACTTTCGTCTGCAAGTATTTCTTGAGCACCTACCATGAGCTAAGCATTGTACTAGATTCTGGGATACAGCAGTGAACAAAATAGATGCAAATACTGGCCTTGTAGAGCTTGCATTTTTGTGGGGGTGGACAGGCAAAAGAATAAAGGGAAACAGAAGGAGGCCGGATGGTGAGAAGCACTTTGGAGAATGATGGACAAGCCAGGGGCTAGGGAGTGCTGGGGAGGGATGGTCCAGAAAGGCTGCACCGAGGAGATGATACATCACAAAAAATCTGAAGGGGAGGGACCGAACTTGCAGATTTCTGGGGGAAATCTCCCAGGCAGAGGAAACAGCACGCGCAAGGCCCTGAGGCTGGTCTATTGCTGGAGTGGGCTGGGAGAGAGGCCATGGGGGCTGAGTGTGTGGGGCCTTGTAAACCATGGTGAGGGCGTTCAGTGTTACTCTGAGACAGACGAGAGGACCGTGATCAGAATTCTGTTTTGCAAGGGTCATTAGAGTGCTGTGTCTGTTGCGGGAAGGTTTGCAGTTGGACTGCACCTGATGATCAGCGAGCTGTGTCAGCCCCGCTGCTCTCCATCCTTCTGATGGGGGGCAGTTTCAGCTGTGAGTGCTGTCCTGGACACTGGGTGACTCGGTGTGTCACTTCCCCTCTCTGGACCTCAGTGTCCCCAGCTTGAGGCTGCATGTTGGTGACCCTGCAGAGCAGAAGCAGGGGGTTGCTCTTGACGCCCACCTTCAACAGCCAATGCCTGCTGAGCGCCTGTGAAGAGAGACAAGCAGCAGGAAATGACGAGACTCAGCTTGGTCCTCAAATCATGGCGGGGCTGGGGTGGAGGTGGTGGTGGTGGGGGGGGTCCCTGTAAGCTGGCTGGGCAGTCAGGCTCTGAGGGCAAAGCCGAGTGGCATTGTGAGCATCATGTACACAGAGCCTAAAGGGTTGTTACAGTGGTAACAAGTAATGTGTGCTAATCAACGAGGGTCAGAGCAGATTTTGGGGGTCAACCCGACACCTGAAGAGGAGCTGTGGTCACACGGACTTCTGGGACCCAGTGCCCCGAAGGAAACGGTGATGCCTGGAGAGGCCGCAGCCCCCCGACCCTTCCCACCGAGGCTCCCAGTCCTCTCTCTCGCCCCCTCAGCTCAATGCCCTGATCTATCCCAGGTCCCGGGCTCCGGGGCTCAGAGACCAGAGACACCGCAGTGGTGGAGGCCTGTGTTGCTCAGCCTCCCAGGGTGGCAGGCAGGGCTCTTGGCTGTGGGCAGAGCCAACGTCTGGAAACAGGGGTGAGACGAGCTAAGTCGAGGGCATTTGCCTGCTCTGGGGAGTCTGCCTGGGATACCAGCTCAACATCGGGGCAGAGCCCCTGGCGACCCCAGGAGCCTCGCTGGGCCTCTCCGTTCCCCGTTCTGCACAGGTGGGGCTGGCCTCCATCAGGGAATTCTCAGCTCTGCCACAGGCTGCCCTCAGGGGATGCTGGGGGCATGGGGGGAGCCAGAGGATGATGGGGACAGAAAGGAGGAAGAGCTGGCTGAGCAGGCAGGGGACCCCCGGCCACAATCAGAGGGGCTCCGCTGACCTTTGATGTTTGGTGCTTCCTGGTGAATTTCAGTTTAAGAAAGGGTTCTGGCTGCTTAAAACAAAGCCACGTGCAACCCTGTATGAGTTTCTCCCCAGTGAAGGCTGTGCCTCCGGGGCCGAGATCCAGCGCAGGGCTCTGCCTCCTGGAGTTTGCAAGAGCTGGTGGTCAGCAGGGCCTTCAGAAATGCGGCCAAGCCTAGGCGCCTTAACAGGCTTTTCCTTCTTCCCCTTGTTCTGAATGGCAGTTTTTTGTTAGTCAATGGAGCTCTGGAGCTCTGGTCTTCCACCCAGACGTGCTGTTGACACAGATGCTTCTAGCCAGTGGGCCAGGGAAAGGTGGGTCCTCTGAGAGGGAGCAGATGCTGCTGGGTGGGATGGGGGTCCCGCAGAGCCCACCTCTCCACAGGATGAAGACCTCTCTGAACAGGGCCTTGTCAACCACACAAGGGCACTGGGACAAGGTTGAGTTTCGGGTGATGAAGGACGCACACGTGGTGGCAGGCGGCCCTCGGCCCCATTGTGTCCGTCCCACATGTCCAGGACCCGCACCTCCTTCCTGCTTCTCTGACATCACCCATTTTCCCACCTGGAATGCCTCTCAGGAGGCTTTGAAATGACAGCTGGGTTCTTTCCACTTCCTTCCTCCTGGTGTCTTCTGAACAAAACGCTCACAAGCCCTTGTGTTAGGATCTTTGCTGCTGACCACAGTGGGAAGACCAGGTCACCAAAATGACAAAAGTGGAGAAGCTGTGCCCTTGGGAGGTCTCCCCGAGGTCTCCAGAAGGATGTTCCTGGGCTGAGCTGAGCGGAGCTGTCGGTGGGGCTTGACCCGCGGTCTCCTGGCAGGCAGGCTCCCTGCCTCCCTCCTTGCGCAGCCCTGGAAAGTCGCTCCTCGATCCTCATCCGGGCTTCCCACTGCGATACCCGGTAACTCCTGCTTATATTTCAAGGCTCTGTTTAGGTGTCACCTTCTCTGGCAACCTGCGTGTGCCATCTGATTTAGATGCTTTTTCTGTATGTTCCCACAGCAACTTGGATTAATACTTAGTACCCCCTGTCGTGATTGTCATCATGCAGGTTTGTCTCAAGACTCGGCAGGGTGCTTCCTAGGGTGAAGGACACTTTTTACCCTCTTCTTCCTGGCAGGTATTTAGTATTCTTACCCCTACTTTTCCCTGCTGTGCCCAAGGCAGACATTACTAATCTATCATGGCACTCTTTTTGATGATCCCAGGTCAGCTTCATAATCATTCTGAGCCCAGCACTGCAGGAACCAAACAATCACAACCCCCCATAAGAGGAATCAGTGTGTGCTCTGTCCTAGGCACTCCCCAGCAGACGGGTATCCCTGTCCTCTTGTCCCCTGATACTTATCAGTCGTTGGACTGACAGTAGGAGACTGAAAACAATGGGGCTCTCCTGCGGAAACGTGCCTGATCTCACCAAGGGGAGAAGAGCAACATGGGAACAACAGAAAGACTTGTAGGATTGAAAAAGAAATCCAAGGTTGCATGTAGCTTTCATCTGGATGAAGACAGTTGCAGATGTCCAGCCCTAAATCCTGGTTGGTGGCTGAGACAAGGCCTGGGTTCATGCCATCCTTCCAGAATGAAGCACCAGGAGACTACGGGTTAATAGCCCATGGCAAGGAAGCCCAGGTGTCATCTGTTGCCTGGGTGTCTCAGCTGAGAGGCCAGACACCTCGCTCATCCAGGCCAGGACAACAGAGGCAAGTCCTGCAGAGCCGTATGCTTCTAACCACAAGTTACCAACCACCGAGAGCAGCTGGATAAAGGGAAAGGACAGGCAACCTTCTTGGTAGATTGTGGGGGGTTTGCCAGAGTCTGGTGATAGAGACAGGGGTCCCAAAGGGCAAAGTGATATCTACAGAACAAACCCAAGGAGAGGGCTTGTGTGCAAGGTAGGAGGAGGTCGGGGGCAGGATTTGTGGCTTTGCCAAGCTCCCAGTGTCATACAATGTGAATGCTTCGGGCAAGAAATCAGAGCCTGTGAAATGGTTGGAGGTGGTTCGGTTTGAGGTCACGTGTTTCTCAGCTCCTGTGCTATGGAAGTAGTGTGAGTTCCAGAAGATGGGGCCAAAGTTAGAACAGGCCCATGGAACCCATGGCCTTCTCCCTCATGGCTTCTACTCTCCAGTCATGCCTGCACTAATGCCATCCTCGTTTCTCCAAGGCCAGGGGCCAACGAGAGCATGCCCTGCCAGGACAAGTCATTCCACAGAGATGCCGTTCCCCTTGGCACCATGTCCTGTATTTGCTCAGCAGCCCACATCCTGCTCTGCCCCCAACCTTGGGGCTGATTTCCCACAAGGTAATTCAAATTCTCCAACATTAAAATCAAGCCAGTATTCAGGGAGCACTTGTGAGTCTTCGAGGTTCACCTAGAAGGAAGCTGGAAATTGTATCACTAATGGCAGTGCTTTTGCTGTTGGGGACTAGCCAGATGGTTCATAAGACAACCATTCAAACACACCTAAGCTGTTCCCACAGATTAGCCATCAATTGTTAGCAAGATCTCTCACTTCCTTTATATTGATTTATGGCAGCAATGGAAATATACCACCTCACCCAGAGAACACGCCTCCTTCCAGCTAGGAAACTATAAATGTCAAGGTGTTTTTACTCAGATTGAGAAGAACCCAGCAAAATGGGGATCTCCACAGACATCCTTGAAATTTGTCTTTTGTTGGGTCAAGTTCTATCTACAGGTACTATGTCTAATTATTATATTCATTAATTTCAGATCATGTCTAATTGTTCCTTGGTTCTAGACATTCTATTCCAAGGGGGGTTTTGCATCAAGAAGAGGCAATTCTTTGCTGATAATTGTAATTGCAAGGATTTACAAGGAATGGCTCTTTTTTATTTTGTTTCTGGCTGAGAAGTACAACAGGTGTAGTTAGAAAAAGCCAATCATTATGTCAGTGTTGTCAGTGAGTCACTCAACTAAAGAAATGATTGATTGGTCTTAGAAAAATTCTTGAAGTTAAAGGAAAGTTTGTGTATATTATTATGAGGCTCTAAAACTTTGCCATAATTGGTTAAGCGCATAGTTTGCGTACTGTAAAAATGAGCAGGAAAGAGCCCCAGTAAATGCTCATTATGTGACTTCTTTCTGCAGGTGTGTCTGGCTTGATAATTAATATTTACTGACGAAAATCAGGTCAAGTAGCTGATCACAGACAAGACCATAAGAGTTCCAAGTCTGCGTCTGTCACTCGCTGCTTTAGACAAACCATTTGGAGCTCAGTAACTCAACCATGTCCTTGTGTTCCTAGAGTGTCAAGGGATAAAATGTACATGAAAGAGCCATAGGCTAATCAGTGCGACTGTTGAATCTCAGTGTCTTTTACCGAGATACCAAATGAACAGGACGATTGGCCAGTGGGCCTAGGTCTCTCTCTATCTCTGTCTGATTTTCTGTCTCTCATCTGTCTGGCCTCCAGCATCTCTTTCCCTCCTTCCCTTCCTCCCCGTCTCTCTCCCTCTGTCCCTCCTTTTTTCTTCCTTCCCCTCCTTCTTTCTCTCCCTCCCTCCCTCCCTCCTTTCCTTTATTCATCTCTTCCCTCCTTCTTCTCTTCCACTCACCCAAACCTTTTCTTTGGTGTCATCTTTTGCTACATTCACGAATTCTGGAAGACAGGGTGGAAGTATCCTAATTTCCAGATAACTTTCAGACCTCTCACTCCGACCCCCAGGCTTCTTTGTAGGGGAAGCTCTGAAGATAAAAGTTTGTTTGGGAAATTGCTTTCATGGAAGCAGCACGCCAAACCCAACCCTCGCGGCCCTGGTGATGGGGAGCAGGCCTGCACTGTGTGTTAGGCGTGTGCATCATGGTGACACCAGGGGGCCAGCTGGCAGATGTCGCCCACCTTCCTTCCTTGTCAGGAGGATGTCAGCGTGTACAGGCTGGGCGGTCTGGGGGCTGGAGATTGTGTCTCCATCAAAATATTTGACAACGAGAGGCAGTGTTCTTGGCTCCAGCTTTAGAAAGTTAGTCCCTGGCCTTGCACTGGCTCTAGGTGACCTGGGATTCCTGTCAGTCCCTAAAGCACAGGGACTGCCCCGTCCTCGTCTGCAAAGGGGCTCAAGGCAACGGTGCCTGTGTTGAGGGACCTTGAGGTTTCACTGTGATGCTCTGTGCGTGCACATGCACAGACACGCACACACACGCACGTGTGCCTGAATGTGCCGTGTGGAGGTGGGAATCAGCCCTGTGCAAAGTGCTTCGTGGGTATTGGGTACTCAGCCCGACGCGGGCCTACAGTCTCTTGTCTAGATCTGCTAACAACCCAGAGTTAGGTATCATTATTTCCACATTGCAGATGAGGAAACTGAGGCTCAGAAGGTTACGTGCCTTGTCCAAGGTCAGCAGCTGGTGAGCAGCTGGGCCAGGACTTGAAGCTGGAGGTCGGCTGGCATTCGGGAGCAGTTACGGCCTTTAACCCTCGCTGTTCCTTGCAGAGAGCCGAGGGGATGAACTGTGGCGTTTAGCTCAGCACTGGAGCCCGGGGAGCTTCGTGCTGGGAGAACCGCGGCAGCAGGCACGCTTCTCAGCTCTGGTCTCTGCACAGACTCTTCAGAAAAGTCAGTGCGCCCAGGCCTGTGCGGGGCGGGCGGGGCGGTGGAACTCCTGCTGCTCCTAGCTGTGTCTTCGGCTCTGCCGCTTATCAGCTCTGGGGCCTCTGCAAGCCTCAGTTTACTCGTTTGTAAAATGGGCTTGTGTTCCAACCTCATAGGGTCGTGTAGAAATGAGGTCACCCAGGCAGCGTCTGGCACATAGTGGGTGCCCACCAACAGGCCATTGTTCCTCTTCTAGGCACTTTCCCGATGTCTTATCCTAACACAACTTCCTAAATGCAAACTGGTATCTTGGATTAGACCCTGGAACAGAAAAAGGAAAAACTGGTGAAATCAAACAAAGCCTGGGGTTTAGTTAGTGGGAATGTACCAGTATTGGTTTGGTAGTCGTGACAAATGCCCCACGGTAATGTGAGACATTAACATTCGGGGAAACTGGGGAGGGGTATTCGGGGACTCTCTGAGGTTTAGTACTCACTCTGCAAGTTATAACTATAAAGTTATTCTAAAAGAGTTTCTAACTTGACTTCCCTCGGTCCAGTGTCTTCAAGGCCAATGTTTTGCAAGATGAGAAAGTAATAATTGCTTACAAACGAATTCCTAGCATACTGGTCATCCTCAACATTACCCTTCCCACAGTTTATCAGGGGTTTTGGCCATGACTAGTGCCTTAAAATAAAGGAGAAAATCTAATGGAGGGACTTGGGCAGTGTGAGAACGTCTTTACTGGGGTGACATTTGGATTGAGGGCGCGCCTCTGATTCCCTTAAGTGACGGGTCCACACAGACTTCTGATCTCTCCTTGAACTGCTCGTTATTGCGCAAACTCCCCCCGCGTTACGTAAGTCAGTCGCTAGGTGCGGAATGGCAGGGAGGAGGAGAAAGGCGGTGGAGCAGACTCGGGTTCAGGCCCTGCGCGCAGCCTGGCACCCTGCCCCGAGGCCCCACCCGCCCGTCTTCTGCGGCCGCGGCTCTCTCCACACCCTGCCGTGCACACCCGCCTGGGATCATTCCCCCCGTGTCCCATGCTGCTCTCCACCCTGGGGTTTTATTGGTTCTGCCTGTTTCCCGGGACACCTTGCAGCTCACTATCTTGCAGCACACAGCAACCTCAGGTGCTCCAAACCTCGCCTCTGGCCGTGGGAACTGCGCGCACTGCGCCCTCTGCCTGGAGCTCAGTCTTCGCCTCCCCCCACTTCACCTGGCTAAATCCGGCTGCTGTTTTTATCTTTTTTGTGCTTTTGGGTGAGGAAGATTGGCCCTGAGCTAACATCCGTTGCCAATCTTCCTCTTTTTTTTCTCCCCAAAGCCCCAGTACATAGTTGTATATCCCAGTCATAGATCATTCTAGCTCTTCTATGTGGAATGCTGCCTCAGCATGGTTCGGTGAGCACCGTGTAGGTCCACGCACAGGATCCTAACCGGTGAACCCAGGGCAGGCTGCTGAAGAGGAGCCCAAGAACTTAACCACTCAGCCAAAGGCCAGCCCCCAGCTGCTATTGTTAAATACCAGGGATACTGATCCATCCAGGAATTTGTCCCTGACGTATATTCTCAACACACACACAGACACACACATACACAGACACATCCATACACACAGAGACACACACAAATACACACAGACACACACATAGTGTCATAATTCCTTAACACAGCACCTTAACTCCTGCACCAAACTGTCTGTGGATTTTTCTAGCGATCCTGCTGTGCTGGGCGTGCCTGGAGGGCAGGGACCATGACTTGCTCACTCAATACCCAGTACAACACCTTGCATGGCTAAGAGCCTAACAGGGGCCCTGGCTCACACTGAATTTAATGCAGCAGCCTGAACCCCCCAGTGCCCCCCTTCCAGGGCAGGAGAGAGGGTGTGAGCCCTCCCCGGTGCCGTGTGACATTTCCGTCTATGATGGACCAGGTATGGGACTGTGGTCCCATAAGATTAGCACCATAGAACCCAGGTGTGCAGTAGGCTATACCATCCAGGTGTGTGTACGTCCACTCGATGATGTTCACACCCAGACAAAATCCCCTAACCTGGCATTTCTCTGGACGTATCCCTGCCGTTAGGTGACGTGCGGCAGTGTATAGTTTATGGGGAGGTAAACACATTATCAGGAACAATGTCAACCACATCCTCTCCATCACTGCATGTCATTATTCCAAAATGGTTTGCTTTTTTGACAAGTTGAAATGGAATCTCCTTGTTTTAACTTGAATTTGGGAGCCCGCGTGGTGGAGCTGCGTCCCACAGCTGCTGTGGGGTCAGCGCACCTGACCTCAGATGTGAGCCTCATTACTTAGTGACTGTGTGACCTTTGACAAGTTGTCCCACCCCTCTAATCTTCGGGTTTCTCGTCCATAAAATAGATGTGAGTAATAATTCTACCATAAAGCATTTTATGAAGATTGAATAAGACAGGACCGGTCAAGCACTTGGCTCAAAGCCTGGAAAGTGGTAATTAATCAAAAATACCGGTTCCTCCCCCCACCTTCTCCTCTCTCCCTCCTCTTCTCGCTCTCTGCTTTCTCTACCACTAGCTTCCTTCTCTTTCTTTATCTTCTGGTTCCCTTTCCCCTTGTTCTTTTCCTTGAGCCTACAAGCAACATTCCTCCCCACCCTGAAAGAATCTGCCTCTTACACCACCCCCAACGCCACCTCCCACCTTCAGCTTCAAACCACGCTGTCACTGCACGGTTAGCGGAGGAAAGGTAGGAGCTGGAGAAAAATGCAGAGAAAATCCAAACACCCGCCCTCCTATCACGCGAGACTGCCGTTGTTCAACTATGTGTTTCTTTCAAGTTATATGTACGTGAGTGGTATCACTAAATATACAGTTTTCCTCTAATTTATCTTTATATTCTGAACATTTTAGCATGCCATTCACAATTTTTGGATATTGAAGTTGTCTCAGGTTTTCTTCTTTTTTTTTAAAAAAATTTCACTTTATTGAGATATAATCAGCAAAATCGTAAGCTGTTTAAAGCGTACGTCATGGTGATTTGAGATACGTACACACTGTGCTGTAAGTACACATCCCAGTAATTAACACATGCAGCACCTCACATATTTATCTGTTTTTAATGCGAACGTTTAAGTTCTGCTCTCTTAGCACATTTCAATTGTCCAGTACAATGTTGTCGAGCACAGTCACCGTGTTTTGCGCTAGATCCCGAGAGCTTATTCACCTCATTGCTGGAAGTTGGTGTCCTTAGACCAACCTCTCCCCATTTCCTCCACCCCGTTTCAGGTTCTTTCTATATGGAGGTTACCGTGAAGACCATCCCTGCCCGTGCATCTTTGCTCACATTCTAGAAATTATTTCCTTTCGCTAGATTCTTAGAAGTGGAATTACTGAGTTAAAGAGTTGATCATTTTTAAGGCTTTTAAAATACACTGATAAATGATTTTCCAGAAACGTGCCAGTTCTTTCCATTCTCAGTAAAAAACAAGAGTGGCAATTTTCTACACCTTCTCCAGTTCCTAATATTATTGTTCAAAAATCTTGGCTGAATTGCTGGATGAAAAATGGCACCCAGTTATTTTAATTTGCATTTCTTTGCTTATAATGAGAGTGAACATCTTAAGCCACTTATATTCCTTTTCCTTGTCTGTTCAATTTGTTCCTTTGTCTTTTCAATTGTCTGTTTGTATCCTTTGTCCCATTTGTTTGAAAGGTTAGTGTCTTCCTTGTTGATTTATGTAAACTCTCTCTATAATTTGGATATTAGTACTTTGCTCATTATATTGATGACAAGTATTTTCCCAGTTTGTTGTTTGCCTTTTAATTTGGATTTTGAATTTTTCCACATAAATATTTTATATTTTCACGAAATTAAATTTATTGCTGTTTTCCTTAGTGGATTTTAACTCTAGAAACTTCTTATAGAAACTGGATAAACATTTAACTAGTTTTTTTTATTTCTGTGTGTTTAAAAAAGATATCTAATTCTTTGTTTCTGAAAATTATTTTGCTTTCTGGTGTGATGTAAATATCTAAAAATTTATTTCTATATTTTAATTTTTACAGCTTTATTTGTAATATTTTGAGGCTAATACTAACTTTTTGAATGGTGACTACTGTAAAATCTTTTTTTTTTTTTTTTTGCTGTGAGGAAGATTGGTCCTGAGCTAACATCTGTTGCCAGTCTTCCTCTTTTTGCTTGAGGAAGATTGTCGCTGAGCTAACATCCGTGCCCATCTTCCTCTATTTTGGATGTGGGATGTCGCCACAGCCTGGCTTGATGAGCGTTGATAGGTCTGTGCCTGGGATCTGAATCTGCAAACCTGGGGCCACTGAAGTGGAGTGTGCTGAAATTAACCATTATGCCACTGGGCCAGCCCCTAAAATCACTTTTTAAAGAAGCAACCAATCAAAGAAAAGCTTTGCAATGGGAATTATATTAAAGCTGTGAATTTGTTTAGGGCGACTGACATTTCCATATTCAGTCCTTCCGTCCAGACACCTGGTTCATCTCCTCATCTGCCAGGAGGCGGCCAGGAAGCTTTGTATAGAGTTGGTATTTTTATTCCTGTTAGAATATTTTGAAGGAGAGCTTCATCCACAGTGTCTCTGCTTCCTCAGAGCCTGTGTTAACCCACATCTTCCCCTCTGCCGGCTCCCATCTGGTGTGATGCCAGGACCTCACATGGGGTCCCCTGCTGGACTCCTGGACACCCCTCACTGGAGCCCTTCATCCACTGTCCTCTACCTGCTGACTCGGATGACTCACCCACTGGAGCGAATTTCCCCAGGACAGTGGGGCGTCACGTGATCTCGCTGTCCCCTGCCGGGTGGAGTCGGGCACCCAGTAGGTGCTCAGGAACGGGCGGAAGGAGCTGTTCCTTCCCGCTCTCTCGGAACTGCTGTTACTTTTCCTGTACACGGGCTGCGGGACAGCAGTTTTCACACTTTAGTTTGTATCAGAATCGTCTGGAGCGCTTGTGAAAACACACATTGTCGGCACCACCTCCTGAGTTCCTGACTTGTGTCCGTGGAAGGCCTAAAAATAGGCCTTTTCCACAAGTTCCCAGGTGTGGGCTGGCGCTGCTGGGCATGGAAGCCGCTTTGAGAACCGTTGCTCTAAAGGAGCTCCTTTCTTATGTGACTGGGACAGGCTGTTGGCCGCTTACTCAAAATGTCGTTTAAAATGAGGAACCATAAAGTATGATACATACGCGTTGTTTTAACTTAAAACGTCAGCGTGCTGTGACTCGCCGACGTGTGGCCGGCGGCTCTATCTCAGTGGGGTCTTCAGTAGGTCTGCAATGTCTTTCTCGCACAAACCACACGATTTTGCGTATCTCTAATTTCTAATTTCAGTTTCTCTAAAGTGGAGCATGAAGTGAAAGACGCTTGCAAAGAAGTGTGAGCGCAGAAGTTCCCCTATTTGTTTTACATCTTTCTTCTACTTTTTGCTGTCTCACTCACCTGAGTTCTTTTTAACATCTTGATTTTATTTCCAAAGCATTAGGCCTTACTTTCATAGAAAAGTGTCTTTCTTCTTGTACCCATATTTCATCAATTTAATATTTTATTTAATTTAAAGCCAAGTACAACTGGTGTAAACAGGTTTGGGACTCATATCTGCCTCCAGTTGATCACACAGCTTAGTTGGTTGGAGCAGAAGTTGCTGAGCACGTTAGAAATTAGCCTACGAGCCCCAGGATTCAGGGGTTTACAGAGAGGATGGAGAGCCCTGGTCCATCTGGCCAGGGGCATACGTAAAGGTCAGTCAAGAGAACTTCCTGTCTGCTGCCACCTCTGGGATGCCTCTCATCCAGTGTAGGCAGACATTGCTAATAAAAATGCAATACAGGGGCCAGCCCGGTGGCAGAGTGCTTAAGTTCACATGCTCTGCTTTGGTGGCCTGGGATTCACAGGTTCGGATCCCGGGCGTGGACCTACATACTGCTCATCAAGCCCTGCTGTGGCAGTGTCCCACATACAAAATAGAGGAAGGTTGCCGTAGATATTAGCTCCGTGATAATCTTCCTCAAGCAAAAAGAGAAAGATTGGCAACAGATGTTAGCTCAGAGCCAATCTTCCTCATCAAAAAATAAAAATAAAAAATAATAATAAAATAAAATTTAAAAAATACTTGAAAAAATGCAATACACTCAATTAAATTTGAATTTCAGATAAAAATGTTGTTTTCTTAAGTATATCACACATAATATTTGCAATATATTTATAGTGAAGAAGTAGTCATTCATCTGAAATTCAAATTTAACTGCGTGTTCTGAATTTTATCTGGCAACCATACTTTCAACCCATTTTTCCTGACACGTCTCTACCTTCTTCCAAGCCCTAGATGAAACTTCCTCTCCCCTCTGGGCCCCTCCTGCCCACAAGTGCTCGCTCCGAGAGTCCCTCCTCTCCCTTTTCTCTGGGCTCCTCGGAGGTGGGTGACCAAGTCCAGTGCTGAGTGGCTCTGAGCTCTGGAGGACTGAGCCTTCCCCCTGTGGCGGGTCCCTTCTTCTGCCGGACTCTGAGTGCAGCGCCTGCCATGTGGTCAGAGATGGGTCCATATTTGCTGCAAGAGTTACTTAATGAGGGACAGGCCCAGCGAACGCTCCAAGGTGCAGTGTGAGGAGCCCCTCCTTTGTTCAAATCAGCAGGGGGTCAGATTCCTGCTTGTTTTCAGAGGAGGTCTCATTTGGCTTCTTTTTCTTTGTATTTTCAGTAACAGTGGGAAACACCATGGGAACCACTTCCAGGGAGACACAGACGCCAACTGGTAACTAAACTCTGGGACTGGGAGGTTGTGGGACCCAAGGCCACCCCCAAGGACTCAGGAGGGGCTGCTGCAGAGTATCCTCTGGGTTTTGGACATAGGACAGGAAGGACCTCCTCTGACGGGGTCCACCTGGGCCCTCAGCCCCTTCCTTATGAAAGTCCATGCTGACCAGAAGACAGGTCCGGGGCCTCCATGCCAGCCTCTGCCCAGCCACATGTCTTTCCTAAGATCTCTGCCCCCGAGGCTGCCCCACTGACTCAACGTTGAGTGCTCATCAGAATCAGCTAGGGCATTTGTTTGAATGCAAGTCCTTGGAATTCTCCTCATCCCCCTCCAGAGACGCTGATTGGGAGGGCTGAGGTGGGGCTCAGGAATCTGCATTTTCACATAACTGAGAATAAGGACGCTCTGTAGACCACACATTGACCACCCGAGCTGCCTGGCCCCGGACTGAATGCAGGTTTCATGTTTGTGATGTAACTATGGAAGCATGACTTTGCCAAGAGTTTCCAAAGGAAGTGACAGAAGATATGTGCATATATTTTAAGAGCTACTTGCTGTTACTTATTTTTTCTTAATGCCTATATTTGCCTCAATGTCAACTGAATTTAGGTTTTTCACATTTTCCCAAATGGTTCTTGGCTACATTGTAGCTCAGACTTGTCGATAGAAAGGCTTTTCCACAAGTACATTGCTAACCTTGACATGCCTTTCACAATGGCCTTGATCTCCTTGTCACCTCATTTGGCAGAACCAGTCCTCCCAGGACGCTTCTAAGCAGGAGAGACCACAGCATGGGCTCGCTCTGTGCTGTTTCAGGGGATCACGTTCCCTGCCTTCAGGGACTTAGGGTCTAAGGGAAAGACAGACACTAATCAGCTGATCACTCAGTTACAATCAGAGCTGTGATCAGTGCTGGAGCCGTTGATCAGCCATCAGAGAGAGCAGTCCCGAGAACGTCACAGGTGAACTGAGGTCCAGAGCCGGTGTGGGAGTGAGCCAGACAGAGCAGGAAGGAAGAGTGTTTCTCTGGGAGTCACTGTCACTGCTGGAGTCTTAGTGAAGGCCGCCAGGTGACTTCCCATTGAAAACCGAATTTAGCGAGTTTATGGAAAGTAGATTAGCGTGGACCACCTGCCTTGCAAGGACTACAAGGAGTGGCTGGTAGCAGGCAGCGGCTGTGACAAAAGGCAGCACAGGATGATAGGTAACAGCATGGACAGTAGAGTTGGGGTCTGGGTGTCCTTGGGCTACCTTTATAGCGTCTGTGCCTCAGTGTCCTCAGGTGTAAGTGAGGATGGGGTTGGGGGAAGGATTAAATGAGACCTTGCATATAAATAGCAAGACATGGGATTCTCTTCACCAGCCACGAAGATGCAATAACTCTTCAGTAGACATTTGCTTCAGTTCCAGAGCACTTTCCAGAGCGCTGTTGGAGTCACTACATGATCTTCTTAGGCTTCTCTTCCAGAACAACTGGAGTGGCCCATCTAGTAAATATTGGTTAGGTTGATGATACTCTGCTTTTGCTTTTTTTTTTTTTTTTTTGGAGGAAGATTAGCCTTGAGCTAACATCTGCCAATCTTGCTCTTTTTTTTGAGGAAGGCTGGCCCTGAGCTAACATCCGTGCCCATCCTCCTCTACTTTATATGTGGGATGCCTACCACAGCATGCTGTGCCATGCAGTGCCGCACCCGGGATCTGAACCGGCAAAGCCCAGGCTGCTGAGAAGCAGAACGTGCAAACATAACGGCTGTGCCACTGGGCCAGCCCCACTCTGCTTTTTTTTTAATGCAAAGCTCTTCAGTCTTACCCCAATAGAGCCCTAAGGTGCACCATGTCCAAATGTGCACAATAGGTGCTTTGGGAGATTTGGGGCAATGGCTGAGTCCAGATGGAAAGGTGCCAGCTCCCCTGGAAAGGGACTAGGTCTTTGTGGAGTACCTTGAGAGATCTCTTGTGGCTTTTCCTAGTTGGTCCCTCTGACAGCTTGACTCTCTTGGACACTGATCCCCAGTGCCAGAGAAGAGTCTCTTTCCATTTTCTGGAAAACAAACAAGTGGAAGCTTCTTTCTCCAGGTGATTTACCCCCATTCCCCAAATGGCAGCCAGTGTCATCTACAACTATGTGGTTGATTATTGGAAGAGTGCAAGTGGGTCTCACTAAATCTGTGCAAAAGAGTTTATTCTGAATGCATGGACATAGCACAACCGGAGACAATTTCAATGTTCTGTTTAGTGTTATGGATGAGTATTGTCAAGACCCAGGAGCTCAAAGCTTCTGAATCTGATGCAGATTCTGACACTGACTTCCCTGTGACTAAGCAAGATGCCTGGAGCCTGTCAGTGGGAGTCGCATGGTGTCATCTGTACTGTGTTCAAATAGCAGAGTTTTGAATGGAGGACTCTCTCAGGCCTGTCTGTCAGCTTGTCCTTGAATCTGGGAGCGGGGATGGTGTATCAGAAATGAGGAGGGGGTGTTTTGGTGCAGATGTTTCCAGTTTTGTGGCCTCTATGGAAAGAATATCCTGGCTGTCTGTTTCTGTTATGAATTGCTTCTTCATGTTCAGGGTGTGTAGTCACCTGGCCTCCATGGCCCTCTTATGGCCATCAACAGCGTGGAGCAGGGCAGCTGGAAGAGTCCATTGTGGACCCCACGTTCAGGGTGCAGAGACAGGGGATGGAGTTCTCTGACAGCCAGTACCCCACTGGCCTGTGGTTCCGTGAGAGAAATTCAGGTCTCTGACCGCTGACTGCTGATCCTGGCTGGCCTTGCATTTCAATAGTAGCTGAGAAGTTTCTCAGATGCCTTAGCCCTCCCTGTGTGAGGAAGCAAGAAACAAAGGATTATGAAAGCAACCTTCCTAGAAATTCCCGTAAGAATTTAAACATAGCAGATCTCTTTGCATTAAGGAGATTGCCCTACATGAGCATCATAAAAGATGAAAGTGAACCATTGCACGTCCCTTAGCAAAATGCGGTGGTCCACATTCATGCTGCCAAATATCATGGATGAGATCCTTTGCATTGAGGTGGGTGAGAGCACTACGTTTTATTTCTGCACTTAGAATTATATTACTGATTCCTTGATTCTTAGATCTGAGGAAATTCATCTGAGATATTGTCATCTGAAGCTTCGTAGTGTGAGATCTCAGGTGTACAGTCAATTTCACCATTATCGTCAGCATCCAGGGTGCTGCTCTCTGTCGCTTTGCATTCCTCTTCTGCTTCACTAACTATTGTGAAACATCTTGCTTCATCAATTTTCTTCTCTCTGCCATTGTGAACAGACAATGAAAAATTCTGAATTCCTAACTGCATTCATGACAGCTAAAAGCACACTATAATGACAATTTCTCCAGCCTTTAAAAAAATACCTTCTTGAAAGATAATGCAATATTTTGGGCATTGAAGAATGATGGTTTATTTCACCATTTCATATTCCTTCTATGCGATGCCCCCATTCTTCCATATTCTTATCATATTTTTTTTAATAATAGTAATTGATGAATTAATAACAGATGAGTTATTTCCTTGAATGACGAAGTAGAAGCACGTTTCAAGATACAGGAAAATGAGATCACTGAGAACTCATAATGTATCTTGGATTTACACAAGGATCCAATGAATCCATATAGTGACTGTAAGATAGAATGAGTTTCATTCCAGTTTTTAATGAATAAATATTCTTTTTTTTTTTTTAGAGTAGGTGTTTTTAAAGATTTTATTTTTTTCCTTTTTCTCCCCAAAGTCCCCCGTACATAGTTGTATGTTCTTAGTTGTGGGTCCTTCTAGTTGTGGCATGTGGGACGCTGCCTCAGCGTGGCTTGATGAGCAGTGCCATGTCTGCACCCAGGATTCAAACCGACGAAACGCTGGGCTGCCTGCAGCAGAGCACGCGAACTTAACCACTCGACCACGGGGCTGGCCCCTGAATAAATATTCTTTTTGAACTTTGTAAGACCTTTCAAAATATGTAAAAGTCATGAACTATCAATCTTCACAAATATAGTTAGAGCTGCTTAAAAAAAGAAACTCAAAAACTAAAATTGAGTCTGACAGACATGACAGAACACTGAGGGTTAACCTGAAGAGAAGGAGGCGTGGAGAGCTTTAGTGTGGCCTCACTGATCGTAAAGATCAGAGTTCTCTAGATTTTGGGTTTCTTCAAGATAGAGTGAAAATTTCTCAGGGTATGGATCAGAAGGAACAGGATATCTAACATCCGAATATTAACTTATTTAAGCGGCCTTGGAGTGACTGTTCCCGATGCTGACTCTACTCAAATTTCAGACTCGAGGGTGATTCAACAGCCCCCCAAAATCCCTGACCCCCGCTTGAGCTGCCTGTCTTGTCCAGCCTTTCTTTCTGAGCATAGATTGCGTCCTGTGACTATAAACTGTAGTGTTAGAGGGGCTGGTATGGACACATGTACTCTATTACATCTAAAATTATTGAGCATCTTGTATCCAACCCACTTGTTTTAATCTCGTATTGCAAAACCCCAAACCCTTAGCAAGAACACTGGAGGCACACAAACCCAAGATCAAACCACAGCACCACCTGGCATGATTGTGAGGTGAAGCTCTAGTCAGTATCAGTAGATCATTTACCAATAGTGGACACTCCTATCCAAGATGAGTTTTGTTTCTTTCTAGGTCTGTGGAACC